TTCAAGCAAATTGAGCAACGATGTTGCTCTCCAAAAAGCGGATCGCGATCACCTTTTCCGTGTCCATGCGTCTTTCAACTCGCGTGCACGCGAAAATAATTAACACGTTTTTACAAACGCAGGTATACGTTGCCATTGAAATATGTGACGCGAGCATGAAGAGAAAAAAGAGAGTAGATTTTAAAAGTAGATTTTAATCGAGCCGTGATTATCGTCATTTCGAACATTCTCTCGTTACTTCCTCCCGTTAATGTTTCAACATTCAACTCAAAATCTCTAAAAGATGATTGATAAAATTACGATTATTGGTAAATTATTCTACGTACGTTAATATGAAAAAAAAGATCTTAATTAACGCATGGATTTAGAAATTCATTCGAGAGAAGTGAATTAAACTGTGAATCTATAAATAAATAAATGCTACAAAGAAATGCACATGATATGCAAATATGAATTATTCATTATAAAATTTTTAAAAGATCTCCGTTTAAATCTCGTCTCCGTAATTGCATTAAAATTTGCATAAAACATCGGACGCTGTTGAAAATTGCCTAAGAAAGAATATTTCGAAAATTTTGCTCGATAAAACATTTTATCAAGATACACGGATAAAAATTTATAATTGCCTATAATTCAATGATCGGCTCGCACGGAATAATTCCTTTCGAAAACGGGGACGAATAATAGCCACGGAAAACCTCGTTAACTCGTTTCTTGCTTGCTGTCGTAGCGAGCAACCGAAAAGCACGCAACAATCGCATAAAAAACGCGATTGGAAGAAGGAAAATAAAAGAAATCTGTGGGCCAGACGTAAGATCGGTGGGGACGACGATGTCCGTTTTTAAGGCCGGAGAAACATCGCGAGGGTTACGCCTTAAATTATCCCGGCCCCTCGTTTATTCGCCGCCAACGAGGCGACTCGGCCCCTAAGGGAAGGGAAATTTGTTAAACGTAGATATTTTTCGCGTTGCAAAGCGGTTCATTAGCCTGCCCTCGCGATAAAAGAGGCTGCTAACGGTAAAGGTTCGTCAACAACCTCTTATACCGCTTAATCAACCGGCGCGCGAAGAACGAGAGGTGTCGCGCCGGGTATACGCGGCCGAGATGGAGAAAAATCGTGTTCCAGAATCGACTCAACCTCCGCGATTCCACAAAATATTCAATCCTTAATTCATTCAAACATATATTCTAAAAAAAAAAAAAAAACAAATACTGCAACGATTCTACATTTTACCAAGAAACAAATTAACCTTAATTTGCATCTAAACTACGATGATGTTCAATTTTTTAAA